GGCGGGCGGGCTTGCACTGCCTCCTCCTGCTCCGCATTGGCTCGCCAGGGCTAACGACAACTGCTCCAGTACAAGTGACGGGTTCTGTATTTACAGGGACGCTCACAAAAATCTGGCACCAGAACAAACCACGGCTAGCGACAGCAGCCGTGGGGCAACCATGTATGGCCTTGGGCAGAGCAGCAGCCCCAGCAGAGCCCTGCAGGGCCCCGGCGCCACCATCCAGCACCTGCTGCAGGCATCTGGAGGTCACGCTGCTCCGGCGGTCAGATGGGGCTGGGGCCGCGGCGCTGGGCAGGGGATGGCTCCCGCTGTTCCCTGGAGCGCTGGTGCATTTGGCCCAGCAAGGCCCCTGTCCTGCCTCATCACTGCAGGCAACCAGCTGTCCCTGGGGGCTCCAGTACAGGACGACACTGACCCTGCACACAGCTCCACACCTCCTCCTCGCCCAGCGTGGGGGCCTTGCGGCCTCTTCACCTTCTTGATGGAGGAGGAGCTGAAGGCTGACTCCCTTCACTTCCTCTGCTCCAAGAGGGAGATGGGAAACAAAAGAAAAACCAGGGTCAGCGGGTGGGAGCGCTCAGGTCACACGGAAAACACACCCGCCTGTCCCAGAGCCGGCCACAGGGCTCCGGCATCACACCTGGCAGTGCCCAATGGACCACCTGCTACCTGCTCAGCCGAAGGCAGAGCCAGGTACAGAAGGACAGAGCTCAGCCAGCAGTGACGAGGGGCTGGGGTGGCACCCTTGCCAGGGGATGTCACCTCCCTGACACGGACAGGGTTTTGCGATGATCATCTTTGCAGTGCAGGGCCCAGGAGTGATGCAGAGAAAGGGGCTGAGCTCTGCAACAACCCAGTGGGCCCAGGAGCCTCGACCAAACAAACTGGCATGCAACAAGCCCTAAGGAGCAGGGACTTGAGAGAGCGGCAGAGCAGCTCCGCGCTATAGCCAGCTGCACTGGGGTTGCTCGGCGCAGGACAGGGCAGAGCCTGGAAATGCTCCTCCACCATCCAGAGCAGCCATGAAGTGGTCCAGAGTGGAGCAGAAGGCTGACAGAGAACCACGGCTCCTCAAAACACCCACCTCTTTTCTGGGCAGTGCGCACCAATACATCTCAGGGAGACCGGCTGGCTTTGGTGAGCCTCACCCTTCACAGACAAGAGTTCAGGGCTGAACCTGGCCACAGGAAAGATGGGGCCATTTGCACCAAAGGGGGAACGTGACCCTAGCCATACCGCTGCACTCAGTGCAACTCCGTGCCAGGCGCTGCACAGATGCCCTGACCAAGAGCGTGGCAGGTGCAGCACCCAAAGCCGGGCTCTGTGCGCAGGGTGCCCAAGGCATACCGGAGCTGCCAGGTGCCCCATGCACTGGGTGCCGTAGGGACACATGGTGCCAGACCCCTGGGGGCCCAGCTGCACAGCGTGAGATCAGGTCCGCTTTGCGCAGCGCAAGGCAGGCAGCAGCGGAGATTGGCACTGCAGGGCGTGCACAGTGCATGGTGACTGCTGTGAGGTCCCCACTGTGCCCAGCCCTGCAGGCATCCCCCATCCCCAAAGGCCTGCAGAGCCACTGCCCCAGCCGGCAAGCACCTAGGGGATGGACAAGACAGCACTGACATGCTCTCCGAAACGAGTCAGGTCTGTCCAGCCCCACTCCTCCAACCCTGCCAGTCCCATACGCATGTGCTCCTGGCGGCAACATGCGTGGTGGGAGGCCCTGCTGCCTCCCCCAGTGGGAAGGCAGCCCCCAGTCCCCACTGGGCACTGGGCAGACAGCAAACAGAGCATGGAATTTGCACGGCTAAAAGTTAAATACAACACACACACGGATTTCGTCAGAGGCCCTGGCACGTCTGCCTTTGAGGGATCTGATTAACAGGGAAATAAAAGGGCCAGAGAACCCACACAGCAGTGTGAACAGATGCCCTATAAAAATCAAATACATGGTAATCAAGGGGACCGAAAGGTACATTTAAAAAAACAAAAACCCACCCTGGAAACAAAGGAGCTGGGCTTTGTGGCTTTCCTGGGAGAGCTGTGGAATTAATGGGGAAGAGCACATGTGTTTGATAATCTTTATATGGCAAAAGACCCATCTTTCAAATATGTCACAAATTCATATTAATCACCTTCCTATTGCCTTCTGTGGCACAGCTATTCCAGTTGCCTTGGGCAAAATGGGGAACTGTCTGGTTAAAAAAAATGTTTTACATTATAATTTACAAGAGCCTACAAGTCTAGTTTCTTTTAATGGAAAGAACGATTAAAAAAAGAGAGGAATATCTGTACACCCTGGTATATATACACTATATATATTAAAAAACATATATATATATATAAAAGACAGATATTGTAACTCCATCTGGAAAGAGAGAATGTTTGATCTTAACAATGTAACTTCTAGCTTTCAAACAGGCTCAGAAAACAAGAAGTCAGCAGGAGTTCAGATAAAGGAAGCTTAAAAGTCAAATAATTCTGACTCTGAACCCGAGACTTCTTAGACTCAGGGTCCTTTCCTTTACCCATTAATGGGCTGACTTGTGAGCTCAGGAACAAAGTGCTGCAATGTGAGGATTTCTGAGAGTCACTCATTACAGATCACTGAGTGGAGTCTGAGTTGCAGAAATCAAAGGATCCAATCTGGAGTAACTGGCTGAACTTCTGCTCGGAACTAATTTGTTCTGAGTTCGGCTCACCTTTCACCTCCCGAAGGCCCCGAGCAAAGTCCCTACCGGGGTCAGCGGCAGACAGCACTGGGGGGATCCCAGCTTGGCATTAGTGGTCAGCGAGGGGCACAGCCCCTAGCAGAGGGTGGATGGGCAGCCAGGGTAGGAGGGGTGTGGTGGACGCAGCAAGGCAGAACAGTGCCAGGCCTCCCGCTGCCGAGACAGGCAGACACTGCTCCTAACGGGATAAAACACCCTGCTGAGATGTCCCCAGGCCCCACTACTGTCCAAGGGGGCTGGGGGCAGCCTGCCATTGCCACAATCAGTATCTCAGAACCCTGCTCTGCCTTTGCCCATTCATGCCAATCCCTGTAAAGGAATCCAGCCATGCCAGGCACAACTGGGGAGTCAGGACTCCTAGCCCTATTCCTGGCTTTGCCACTCACTCCCTCCAACATCTGGAGCAAGATATCCTTCAGGGGAGCAGCTGGTTTGGAGGCTGAACTAATCCATACTTAATCCAACCTGTGGAGTGCCATGGACAGGCAGTGCTAGACAGCACAAAGGGATTCTCCAACTCAGAGGAATTTGAAGCAGGGAGATTAAATGATTCCCCCTGAGGGCCCCAGCAGCTCAGTGGCAAAGCATACACTTGAACTTGGGAGTTCAAGGCTGTCGTGGTGAGGTTAAACAGCTGAAGCAGCCTCAGCAAGGGGAAGGGCAAGGTGTCACCCACAAGCACCCAAGAAGCAAGGGAGGGAAAGGCTACTACAAAGCACCGCTGCGCTTTGCATGCCTCATGCTGTCCAGTGGACGGGCTGGATACACCCCAGCACACCACTTGCTCTACAGAGAGCTTGCTTGTTTGCACTACCAAAATTGCTACCCCTGCTGCAAGAACCCCAGGGTGGGGGAAAAGCACAGTGCTTGCAGGGGGAGGCTGCCTTCTCAGCGCCGTGTCCTGGGCCCACTGCCCCCCACGCTGTCCCCATCACATCAGGGCCTGGGACATGTCAGGGTTATCACTGTGCAGGGTGGGGACACATGCATGCACCCACCAGCCAAACAGCCATCAACTGCCCCAGCCACGCCACTTCTCAGAGCTGACCCCACATCTGAGGCCAATCTTCCAGAGGCCAATTTTAGCCATGAGGCTGAGCAAGAGGCACTGGGGCTGCTCCTGCCAGCTCTGGGCAGGGCCAGGAGCATCACCAACGCACAGCTTCCACTCAGCTCGGCCCATCCCTGGAAAAGCTGGTTGTGGGCCACAGGTCTCTCGCACCACCTCAGGACCCAGAACAGCAGGAAAGGCTCAGGGCAAGCACAATGCCAGGCCCTGCCTGGCTCTCCAAACATACCTGAGCCAGGCAGAACATGGTACAGCAGCCCCATTCCCCTCCTCTCCAAGATACCCCTCCAGCTGGGATGTAATTTTTCCCCCCTCAAAAGGTAGCATAAAATGGTCACAGTGTGAATGTGCTTGACCTTTTGTCTTGGACTAATCTAATTGTGTCGTCTTTGTGTAATCAGCCGGTAAAGGTCAGTGCTGTATTTAACATGGGGGCCCTTTAGGTACTGAATTTGCCTTGCAGTGAATTAACTTGATTATATTTCTTTCAAATATGTCAGAGACCAGGTCAGTTTAACCCTCTCTGTGCTGCCTGGGCCCACCCCTTTGTTTCCAGTTCCAGGAGGTGGCACTGAGGAACAACTTTGTCAGAAACACACACAGGGGCTCCAGCAGCTATGGCCGCTACCACCACCACCACCACCTCTCCCACCTTCCCCACAAGCAAAGTCTCAAGGGAGAGCAAGTGTGTTGTGAATCAGCCCAAAAAGTTTGCAAACCAGGACACTCAGGACCACAGGGAGGGGTGAGATTTCAGATTGAATGCAGCAGGGGGGAAAAAAAAATTCAGGAAACTCCTTTGCAAACATGAACCTGTCTCAATGGAACGTTTCCTTACGACTCCATATTGTCACAATCAAGTAGGACATTACTCAAGTCCAAATTAACGTGTCGCCTCCGCCATTGACAGAAAAGGTGTTCTCAATATCCTGCAATACATTACACATTTTAGAAAGCAAAGGTCTGTGCCACTACCGGGGGCAGTATGTCTGAGGCGTCGGGGATGCCACTGTGTGGAGACAGGCAGCTTCTATTAAGCAGTTCAGCTCAGCTGTGCCAGGGGACTGCACAGAGGGGAAAGCAACCTCACCTGATCCCCAGGCATACCCTTGGCCCTGAGGCAGAGGTGAGGGATTGGGCAGCCTGCCCTCATAGAGGCAGGGAGGAGAGGGCTTGTGATTTGCATCCTGCAGATGTACACGCACAGGACACTGTCACAGGGCTCGCAGTGTCAGAATCCCTAGGTCTGGCTTGCCCTTCTCGGCACAGGAAGTGGGGTATTAAAAACATCCCTTTGTTCGAACTTCAAACACCTCTCTCCTTCCCAAGGCTCCTGCTCCAGGGAGGGCTACTGCTTGACTCCAGGGACTTGGGCAGGTCATGGCTCATCATCTCAAGACTGCTTTCCCCACTCGCCTCCCTCTGCTGGGCAACCCTTACGGGGCTGTGTCTAGAAGGAAAATGCCTCAGGCCTGCAGCTGTACTGGTATCACTGTTGCTGCCTTAGTGCAAGCTCTCGTCACCCAAAGCCTTGCTGCTTTGGTCCACGGTGGCACCCACGTCAAGCCATCTGCCTGCATGCAGGATGTAGAAAGCCCTGCTGACCCCACCTGTAGCACCAAGAACACTGTCCAGCACAGGAGACAAGCCCAGAGAGCAGCACTGGGACTTGGGGGGGAACAGGCGTGCCATGCTCCCTTGGACACGCACGCCTGGAGGGACAGCAGGGCAGCATTCCCAGAGATTGTCAGGGCATCTGCGTCGGAGACCTGAGTGCTCCCTGTTCTGCCCCCGCAACCTTCCTTCTCACCGAGTTGGGGGTCAGTGGTGCTCCTACTACATCAATGATCTGGTCCTTGGCATCTCCCTTGCCCTCCTCGATGCCGAGCACTGCCTGGCCATCTGGATGGGCGCCTTCTGCACTGAGGGGGCCAATACTACCAGCTTTGGCCAGGGCCTCATAGCGGTGCCGTAACATCTGCAGTTCATATTCGCAGTTGGCAAAGGCTTGCTTCAGCTCATACAGCAGCACTAGGTCACTCCGCAGCTCATTGAACATCTGCACGATCTCCTCTGTGGGCATAGGGTTGAGATCTAGGGAGAAAAAGGGTATCTGTTAAACACCCAAACCTGCAACCCTACAAGAGAGGATCCCTAAACAGATCCTGGCTGCCCACTTCACTCCCACAAAGGTATGCCAGGAGTCTCACTCCCATCAAATGGTTCATTAGCAACCAGCATCCCTGAGGGTCAGAGACCTGAATTTGCAGGTTGTCCTTTGGCTCTGGCCAAGGACTAAGGGTGAACCTGCACAGTCCAGGACTCAGCAAGTGAAGGATGATGGAAGATGCAGTTTAGACCAGACAACTGAACCTTGCTACCCACCCAGGTCCTATGAAGGGAGCTCAGTCCTGAGAGCACGATATGTATGTTTTTGTAGAGCAGGAGTGGATAAGCAGGAACCCCCCCTTACCCTCATGGAAAGTGAGCTCTAAGAAGCACTCTCATCCTTTCCCAAGGCTTCCCTAGCAAGCAAAAACGATAACTCCCTTAGTTTTAAAGCAGGAAGGAGAAACCACCCTGGCTGAGCTGCTTTCACCAGCCACAGGAGGCCTTCAGAACTACATGCAGTCTCTGAGACAACATACCAAGCCATAAACCAGTCGGCCCAAAAAACTAACAAGAGTTAACAGAAGTCAGTGCTGGGAGCAGGCTCTGTAATCTCTTGTAAATCACCAGTAAGTCTTTTTTTTTTTTTTTCTTCCCCCTTTTTTTCTTTCAAAATCCCCCCAGCCACAGTGGGGGGGGTGAAGGGATCATCAGGTGTCTAATCAAGGGGCACTGCATGCTGGGACATGTAGTAGCCGCAAACTGTACCCACTGCACAGAGGGCAGCAGCTAGCCATGGGCTGCACTTCTTCCCCTCTAGCTCCGAGCGGGTATTGTAGATGTTAAGTGAACTCTTCTTTCTGCTGCTAAGACACTGGAGTTCAAGAGCGAGGGATGTGTGTTTACTCGCCTTTCAGCAGAGATGCTCCAGATTTTTACACAGCATGCAACCTATAAAGGGGGGATGAACAGTCCCAGACGCATTTTGGACTTGCCACCGTGAGCAGTAAATTAAGAGGAAACGAAGCTTGAAAGCAAGACAGGGCAGCCCTGAACAATGCGTGTGCCGTGGTCACTAACACACTTAGAAGTACCTCTCCCGGCAAGGCTGGGATTTGCCTTCCTAACACTGTGCTGCCTCTCTTGATGGTTAAAAAGGCCCAAACAAGAGAGAAACAAGGCTCTTCTAAAAGATTTTTCTACCGGGAGGAAAAAAAAAAAAAAAAACCCTGTGCATCTTGTTCTGGCTTTTACCCTCTCTTTTTTTTTTTTTAAACACATAAAATATTTTAAAAACCATTCACATACTGTTATTCAAGAAACTGGCTGTATTACTAGGGGAAAAAATAGCCCATCTCGAGAACAAAGGCTAGCTCTGTGTGTCTCTCTCTCTCTCTCGCGTGCCCCCTTTACTCACCTACTCCGAGTTCCATCAGCATCTGCTCCAGGGCTTTAATCTTCTTCTGTCCCACCGAGCTTGGCAGTTTCATCTGGAACACAAAGGTAACAGAGCCACACAGCTCAGAGATAGCCCTCACTCACAGCCGTCTAGTTCAAAAGGCAAGAGAGCTTTTCTTTTTATAGTGCAGGGGGAACAAAAAAAGAAAGGGAGAGAAAGGAAAAATCAAGTGGTAAGAGAGGGAGACAGGGGCTGAAAGTTTTCAGACTAGGTCCGAGGGCAGGTATTGAAAAGCCCGGTCGTGAGGGCTTTTATTTTCTCTCTCGTGTGTGTGCAAGACACGCTGTTTTACAGTTTCCATGTGTCACTGAATTAACAACAAAAGTTCTTCTTGGCTTCAAACCCTCTCCCGCAGTGCCCAGCCCATCAAAGGGCTCATTTACACAGCAGCTAATGTGCAATGCTGCCCTACTTTATTCGCTTTAGCCAGCCTGATTAGACTCATGCGCTAACAGACTCACTTCTCCTTTTACCTGCTGAGCCCCAGACCTGTGGGATTCATTTACAGAGCAGGCTTTATAACAAAGGGGAGAGACAGAGAGAGCACAGTTACTTGACTGGCAGAAGTGTGAACACACATTTACATCGGAGCTAAGGGGCTAGGTGAGAGAGGAAGCATCAGATGTGAGCTATGAAAGGGAACCAGAGCTGGCCAGGAGAGGAAGAATGCATACACTTAGCAGGGTCCTTCCTCTGCATTCATTTGGGCTCTAGCAGGAGTGCTAGCTGCTCAGACCAAGCATTTATTAGATTACAAGCAGCACAAACGCAGCTGGCACAATATGGCAAAGGGAACAGGTTTCCAAGCCCTGCGGATATATCCAAGAATGAATATAAACACTTTCTTTCCTCAGCAATGCTAGAAGACAGACCAGGAGAGAAATGATTCCCAACACCACAGTGTCAAACACCTTAGTGCACAGAGTTGTAGTCTGTCCCTCCATGTCCAACCCTGGGAAGGTGAGCCCACACCTCCACCTGGGAATGCTACCATGATGAGCCTTCCAGCCCAAGCTGCCCCGCAGGCTATTGAATAGCCAAGCAGTGAGAGCATCCTGCAGCCATCCTGCACACCACTTACTGATCAGTGGCCCCAACCTTGGCCAAACCAACCAGGAGACTGCAACACTGAGCTGGGAATGACCTGAAGGAAGACCCATTCTTTACTTCACCTTAAAACTGGCCCTGAGGTGAGCTCAAAGGGTCCTGTGGTCACCTTACTTCCCATAAGCCACAGGCTGAAGTTCCCCAAAACAGACAGCCCAATGTGAGCCTCCCAATAGGCCCATCTTTTCCACAGTGTTCACTGCCCTAACACAAAAATGACAACAAGAGACACCATCTGGAACTTCTTAATTCCTTTGAAGGCAAAAGCACTGCATGTACATATCCAAATGGTAAAAGCACCAACCTTAACTCAGCTATGGCTGAACACATCCCATCAGGAGCTCCTCAACCCCAGTGCAGGACCTGCTGGGAAAACCCACCTTCTCCACCACATCATTTCAACCAAGAAGCCAGAGCACAGATGCCACAGAGCACCCCAGGGGAATGGGCCTGTCACAGTATACACTAAGAAGCACATATTCTTTTTGCTAGGTATTAGGACCACAGTTAAGACTCCAGCAAAGTATCACGAAGACTATCAGGAAAAGATTTCTAGGAAACCAACCTGATCCAGGGGATCCAAAAGGAGCACTAGGGAAAGCGGAAAACCTGCTCTCGTGCAAAAAGCCAGCACTGGTAGGCACTAGAGGACACCTCTGTCCTTTTAACACTGATGTCTCTGGCTCAGAGCTGGGGTTTCTGCATAGCAGTGAATTTCAAAGACTGAATCTTTAAGCTTGACCACAAGATGATTGTTTTAGCAGACGAAAGGCTGCCAAAAGTATCAGGTATTTGGATATCATTCAAGTCTTTGATCTAGTCTTAACTTGAGTAGAACCTTACTAAAATAGGCTTTCCCAGGAGCTCCGCAGCACAGACTACCTGCACAGGCTCTGCTGAAAGGCAGCAGGCATGGGGAGAGCCCTAAGACAAGGCAGCACGCAGCACTGGGACAGGAGACTGTTCTGTTTATTTGCTGGATGCTATAAAGCTAGCAGAGGCATGCCACGGAAGGAAAGGTCACTTAGCACAGCTTAGCAGGAGACAGAATGGTTAGCCTGGAACATTGGGAAGACACTCCTGAGAGCAAGAGGTCTTGGTCCAGGGAACTGTTCTGCCCCGTGAGGAATCACACACAATATTTAAGATGAGCAAGGCACCCAGCTGTCTCATCCTGGGAAGATGCATGGGCTGACCTAGTCAGGCTGTGCTAGCCTTAACTTCTAGGAGACAAAGAGTTAACAGAGCCCAGCATCGCCTCATTGAAGACCTCTGGACACACAATACTTGTGTGATTATCAGAGCCCTGAGAGTCCATCTTCAAGCCTACCCCTAACATTGACATCACAGTCTTTCTAGGTAAAGGCAGGATTCCCTTCTGTCAAACACCTGCTGGCAAAAGCATGCTGGACTTCAGGAACACAGGACAAAAAATAAGAAAAGTTCACACTTGGCTAGGCTAGGTGGACAGACAAGAGGCCTTGTCTTGTTGGTTAGAAGAGTACAAGATTTTCTCCTGAGAGGCTTCCACTAGCTCAAGGAACTATTGGCAACACAAATGATTAACCTGGCAAAGCCTTCAACAGTAATGTTGTGTGTGTCTTGCTCACGTCCCACAGGAGTCTGGTCGATGAATACCAAGCCAAGGTCTTCACTGACACTCCTGAAGATTAGAGGATGGAGCAGGGAAAGGCAGGACAAATTAATTTCACTTCAAAGAAAGGAACACTAGAGATGCTCAGAAGGAGTGGGGCTGTGAGTTTAGTTTAAAAACACATCGATTAAGCTTCCTTTTAATTCAGGCAGGAGGATCTGGCCTGCAAACAGGAAGGCTTCATTGGTTTCTCAAAGCAAGAGTATATTTTAATTTTACCATCATTAAGAAAATGTTATGATTTATGTGGCTGCTGTCGGACTAATATCTTTAGAATTTAGCTGGCTAAGCCAATTCATCTCTGAGACTGATGAAGGCTGATTGCTCTCTATGCAAAATGTATTAAAACTAAATGAGCAGTCTATTACTCAAATGCTGCTGATAATGTGTTAGCCAGGGTCCGTTAGCTGGGCTGCCTGGCTGCAGGAGAGAAGCCTTCATACCCTATACGGCTCTGATAAGCCCAAGCTTACTTCAGCAAGGCCTTCTTTGTTTTCGTCTTTTAACTAGATGCCCAGAAATGCACCAGTGCTGGAAGTGGTGTATCACCTGCTCTCTTTCCTGAGGAAAGAGACAATCTGCAGGAACCACAGGTCCCAGCCCACAGAACAGCCCTCTGCCTCAAGATGTATGCACTGGGATATGTGGTTTCTGCAGGCCGTACCTCTGCGTTAATGAAAACGCCACTCAGCGCAATCTCATTGCTTACACCACAGCTCCTGGGATGTTCTCGGTGTTATCATGGATCGAATCCTCCACAGGGGCTGAGGAAAATTATGTTCTTCAGAGAACTCCAGCAAGCAACCACAGTTTCCGAGGTGAATGGCATTTGCCCTTTTCTTTCCTTCCTTATACTAGACTATTATTGTTATTTATTATCTTTAAAGTCCCCATATAATAATAATACCTCAGAAACAGATTGCTCCAGTCAGAAAACTGATTAGCCAGGATTTTTGAGGTTACTATATTTGGGATGCTCTTCTCCTTTGACAGCCTCTCCCTACAGCCCTTTTTGCAACACCAGCCTGTGCTTACAATTACACCAACGTCGCTTTTGATTTAAAGACTGCAATCCTTTGTCCTTGCTATAAACAACCTGCAGTAAACACACGAACTGCGTGTACTAAGAGAAAAATAAATAAAGAGCTACAGAAAATTGTGTGAATCAACACCATGAAGCCACAGTAGCCTACCTATGCAGAGAGAAGCCTCGTCTGATCCTGGGATACACAGCCTCTGCTGGCATGCACTTGGCCTGAGAGGCACAGAGGACGTCGGTACTGACCCGGTCTGCTGTCCCCTGAAGGAGGAGGGCACTGCTCGGGATTTGGGCCGTGCAGCTTAAATAGATGAACAGAGCATCCACCACACATTCACTGCAGGGGTTGAGAGACTGGGGTGGGAGGGTGGCCCCAAGCAGTTCGATTTCTATAGAGGGTCTCACCACGGAGTACCCTTGAGGTTTTGAATGATACAGGATTTTTATTTAATGTTTGAGACATTCCACTGACAAAACCTTGCTAATTCACACTAATGACTAGGAGACCTACTGCAAATTAATTGCTAATTGGCAAAATTCATTAAGTGAACAAACATGGTAAGAAATAATGGAAGATAAAGCCTCCCCAAACAGACTTGGTTCATTTATTTTTGTGGGCCAGTCAGTTTTCATGATTTATGCTAATAATTTTAAGCATAGTCAGAAATGCATTTGAGTATATTTTGGAAGAGTAATGAAGTTTAAGTAATAGCAGAGCTTGCAACACAGTCCCCTGTTACGTCTTAGAGCATCACCACCTGGCAGGTAGAGACTGTTGTGGAGATCTGCACTAGGAATGGGAGAAGTCTGCAGGATCTACATAGACAGATTCAGCTAGGTCCCATATGTGATTATATCTATGCGGTCATCTTAAGTGTCCTGCTCTCAATTTACCTCTTTCCTCATAAATGCTCAATTTCTGGTGCTCACAACTTCCCCCCAAAAAAAAATCCCACTTTTGTGCTGAAACCTTTTGTTTGGTCTCTCACCAAAATACAAGGTTTTTAAAATTAATCCATGGTTATTTGGATATTTCACATGTACCCTTCCTGATGCTGCACTTCATTTTACTTCAATTTTGAGACAACCTTTTCTTTAAACTCACCCTTCCCCAACCCTAAACAATATGACTGTCCTAAAACCATTAATCCTAAAAACTCCACACATCTGACCTGTGTTGGTACAGCTATAAACTGTGGTTTTATGCACCGGCACCAGCATTGTTGTTCAG